ACCATAAATGAGTCAACTAGCTATACATAGAAACAGCATCAGGAAAAAAAATTCAAGTGTTCAACTGGTAAAATGGTAGCTCTTTTAAATAATAAAGATAAACTCAATACCATCACTGGATATCCTTTTGGGAAGCTGAAAGATGTTTTAAATTAATCATTAAAATAATTTTCATAATTGGGAAAATGAACAGACTCTGCTTTGTCACATTGTTACACAATAAATCAATGTGAAACTGTCACCAAGACCTTATTATAAGACATAAAGTAGCTAAACAAAGGAAACCTATAAGAAAAAATTCCTTGGGGCTTATGATGCTCCATACCTCAAGCACTTGGAATCTTTCTAGGGGACAATTCAAGGACTTGCCTCACTCACCCAGAAGCTGAAGTAGCCAAACTAAGCCCATTTAAATCACATGCCACTGAGAACTCCAAATGACATTAAATTCAATCTTGTATAGTTTTCCTACTAGTTCTTTCCTACTAGTTCTCCACTATCTGGTGATTGTCATTCTGGTATGAACATGTATTAGTCAGCTTGGGCTGCAATAACAAAATACCATAGATTGGGTGGCTTAAACAACAAAAATTTATTTTTCACAGCCCTAGAGACTGAGAAGTCCAAGATCAAGGTTCTGGTTGATTCGGTTCCTGGAGAGGGCTCTCTTTCTGGCTTGCAGTCAGCCACCTCATCACTGTCTCCTCATATGCTCTCTTCTTTGTGTGCATGTGGGGAGAGAGAAAGATCAAGCTCTCTGGTGTCTCTTCTCATAAGTGTACTAATCCCATCAGACCAGGCCCCCACCCTCATGACCTCATCTAACCCTAATTACCTCCCAAAGGCCCCATCACCAAATACCATCACATTGGGGCTTGAATACTTGAATTAGGGGGACATAAACATTCAGCTAATAGCAGAACATATACCATATGACAATCTTCAATATAAAATTACCAACTATCTTCCCACTGTAATATAAAAGAGAAAAATTAAAAAGAAAAAGGTAAAATGAAAAACTCTAGCACTTTTTGTAGAATTAACTGAAAGCATTAGCTTTACTGCTACTTATTAGCTACCAGGTACTGTCCTAAGCACTAAATATACATCACTGACAATCTGTACAACACCATGAACAGGTATATACTATTATCATCAACTCCATTTACATATGGGGAATTCAAGGTTAAGTAATTTGCTCAGAGTTGTGCTGCTAGCAAATGAGGGATGCTGGGAGGCTAGCTACAGAGTGGTTAGAACTCTAACCACTTCACTCTTCTGTCTTTCTAGCAACTCCTCCAACTTAGCATCTAGTAGAAGAGAGAAAACTCCACAGAACATTGTGCTAAAAGCTCCCTTATAGAATTGTCACTGATGCCTGAAATTCTATCACTAGCTTCGTTCCTTTAGATTAAGGAATGGTCTCCTATTAAAAGTTAATACAGGGCCGGCCTGTGGCTCACTCAGGAGAGTGCGGTGCTGATAACACCAAGGCCCCGGGTTCGGATCCCACATAGGGATGGCTGGTTCGCTCACTGGCTGAGCGTGGTGCTGACAACACCAAGTCAAGGGTTAAGATCCCCTTACCGGTCATCTTTAAAAAAAAAAAAAGAAAGTTAATACAAATATAAATCTGAAACACAAGAAGCCACTACCAATCATGAAATCTTACAGTACTGTTCTCCTCCCAGGTTTGTGAGAAATCCCCTAAGGGGACCATTCTCGACCCATCCCTGTAGTGATCAATTACAGGAGAACCACCCCTGTAGTGAGATACTATGAGCCATCTCCAGGTCAATCAGGGGTAAAAATTAAAATTAAAATATCTTTCACTCGGGCCGGCCCGTGGCTCACTCGGGAGAGTGCGGTGCTGATAACACCAAGGCCCCGGGTTCGGATCCCATATAGGGATGGCCGGTTCGCTCACTGGCTGAGCGTGGTGCTGACAACACCAAGTCAAGGGTTAAGATCCCCTTACCGGTCATCTTTAAAAAAAAAAAAAAAATACCTTTCACTGCTTAAAATTGAGAATATGGAGAGAGAGAATATAGAATGGGTAAAGGTGATTTAAAAGAAAAAAACCTAAGGTGTACATAGGTAGAGGCTTATTTTGTATCCCTCCAAAATATACCATGTGGCCAAGCACGGACTGTGCCTACCCTGGAGCAGAGAAGAACTGAGAAGGTTCACTAAGTATTAGCAAAGCTTTAGGCCAGTGAATTCAGTTCCTCCTCAAAGAGATCTTTCTTTTTTTTTTTTTTTAAGATGACCAGTAAGGGGCCGGCCCGTGGCTCACTCGGGAGAGTGCGGCGCTGGGAGCACAGCAGTGCTCCCGCCGTGGGTTCGGATCCTATATAGGGATGGCCGGTTCGCTCCCTGGCT